TATATATAAAATATATATATATATATTATATATATATATATATATATATATATATATATATATATATATATATATATAAATACCTTACTCAAATTTTGCAAGGCCCTGTGCAGTCGTAAATGTGATGTCATGGTGAGAGTCACTGCAGACTTGTGTGTGTAGCAATTTATTGTGGAGGTTCTGGTTTATTAATGTACATTGTGACAAGTCTTGGATCTTCATATGTAGGTGTAACCTGTTCTTTTTGAGCAACAAATCAGAATATTAGAATGTTCATGTGACACTGAAGATTGGAGTATTGATGCTACAAAAATCAGCTTTGAAATCACAGGAATGAATTACATTTTATAATATATTCAAATAGAAAGCAGTTATTTTAAATAGTAAAAATATTTCACAATATTACTACTTTTGCTGTATTTTGGATCAAATAAAGACAGGTTTGGTAAGCAGAAGATAATTCTTTAAAAAAAACAAAAAAAATCATACTGTTCAAAAACGTTTGACTGGTAGTTTATATCACTGTACAGAAATGTAACAATATAATTTATAGTTCAACCAAAATGAAAGTTTAAAAAGATTTAATTTAGCCTCAAAAATGGAAAATGGTAAAGTGTTAAATGAGTTCAAGAAGTCTTCAGATAGTATGCTGAAGTTGATTGAGATTCAGTTGCTCCTCATATGAGGTTGTAGTTGGAGGTCTTCAGCTCTTCTTCAGCAGGAGCTTCATTCTGATTTCTATGGCGAGTCAGAGGTGTTTGTCTGAGGACGTGACGGAGCCAGAGCCTCCAGAAAACACTGAGATCAGAGAACTAATGACAGGACAAAACCAAAACACAACAAACATTATGAAATAAAACACATTTGCAAAACATACAGTTTTCACTGAAAGTGCTGTTTGAGTCACTTTATGTTTTTGTCTTTCTTCAAAGATTTCCCCACACCTACACTGACTGTGACTCCAAACAGTCCTGTATTCACTGGAGAGAGAGTGAGTCTGAAATGTGTGATAAACTCTGATCACCGTGACTGGAGATATGAGTGGTATAAAGACAGCAATGAAGTGTCTAAACGTCACACTGTAAACAGAAACACTCTCACTATTGAACGATCTGAAAAATCTGATGCGGGTCAGTACACGTGTAAAGGACACATAGATGGAAGATCAGTCTCATCAAACTCAAGCTCTGCTGTTTCTCTCTTGATGAAGGGTGAGTTGAGTATCATTGTCCTCCTAAACTTACTCTACTACATGTATTTATTCAGATGAAACATGTACACTGAATATACAAGCTCCTGAAATTCCTCAGCATATCATTTAAAACCATAAAACCATTAAGTTAAAGAAAACAAAAATAACACACATTTGCAGTGAGTATCATGATTGTGTCAGATGATCTAATGTTGAATCACATTAAAACTGTAGTGAATCAGACGGAGGAGAGACCATCACTCTCCTCTCCACATCTCTCCTCTTTAACATCAGTGTCACACAAATACAGGAACTCAGATGATCAGATCACGTTTCTGACTAGTTCACTGAAAGAGCTCTGTCTTCTTTCTTCACAGATTTACCCAGATCTACACTGACTGTGACACCAGACAGTCCTGTATTCACTGGAGAGACAGTCAATCTGAAGTGTGTGATTGAGTCTTACAGAAACTGGAGATATGAGTGGTATAAAGGCACAGACAGTGCAATGTTACAGGCGTCTAAGCGTTACACTGTAAACAGAGGCACTCTCTCTATCAATGGAGTAACTGCATCTGATGCGGGTCAGTACTGGTGTAGAGGACAGAGAGATGAAAGACCAAAATCATCACAATCGAGCTCTGCTGTTTCTCTCACTGTGACGGGTGAGATGAATATCATTGTCCTCTTAAACTCACTCTACTGTCACACATCCATTTGTCTGAAAATTAGTTTGGAATGGAAAACTCTTTTACTCCTTACCAAATTCAGCACAGTAGGGGAGAGCGGGGTGATTTGAGCCTGTGGGGAAGTTGAGCCACTCCTTGTTTCTAGACAACCTTAAACAAAATTGGTGATATGACCTCAAATATATGAAGAGTTGACCATTTTACTAACCATATGGTGGAGACAACCCAATGGAATAGTTGGTAACTATATTTAGGTTCAAAAACGAATTTTTTTGCTGTTTAAAGTGATTTTGATGTTTAACTCATGCTTCTTGTGTCTGAACAATTACAAACAAATCTGAAAAAATATATATAATAATCAAATGTGTTTATGCATTAGGAAGTTATAATATAGGTTATAATGTTTGCATGATGTTAGCTCTAAACTGCTGGATGATACAAGTTTGTTAAAATGGTAGGTGTGGGGTAATTTGAGCCGAAAGTCGTGGGGTAAGATGAGCCAGTGGCTCATCCCTTCTTATGGTTATAATGTATTATTTTACTGTAATTCTACATTATATGTCATTAATTTTAGACCAGGCATTTTGTGCTTTGTTTTGAACTTGACTTTGTTATGGAAATTTTATGTAGGCCTTGTTTATGAAAATTGGCCATTGAAGTTTATATTAAATAGTTTTTCCCTGCAACATTTATAACTGCGATGTTGAGTACTATTAGCCCAGTTCTGTAAGGTCAATTGCAGTCTGTTTTTTCCCCCTTTTTCTTTTTTCTGCAGTTTGAACTTTATTTTGATCTGAAATTTAAATAATTTAAAAAATGGCTTTTAAGAAGTCATCCATCAACCCAATCTATTATTCAAACCTCTTTACCTTATAGGGTCGTGGGGAGCTGCAGCCTAACCCAGCATCTTGAGCCACAGGTGGGGAAACTACCTAGATAGATGGTCAGTCCATCACAAGGCTCACACATAGATTTTAAGAATCATTTTTATTTAATTTCTCTTCCTTTGATATATCATGAGGTGAACATTTTCAGTTTTATGTCAGCATAATCAAAGACACAGATCTCCCTGATGCTCAACTTCTCCCTATAGGCTCAATTTACCCCACCTTTTTTTTTTTTTTTTTTGGAAAGCCATATTTTGAAAGCAGTTTATTTTAGAATCAAAGTGATTCCCCTTCAGGGACTCGAGTTGCGTCGAGATTCGCTTTGGGAACGCCCTTGCGTGACCGCGTTCTGAAGCACGTGTCAAATCCGTCCAATGGAGCAGCGAGACGTCACGAGCAGGGTGACGTAAGCACCAGAAAGCATAAAAGCGCATCCGGCCGGACGCCACCCAGCTTCTGCCCTTCAGTAGCGCTCTGTGTATGTGTCTGTCTATTTACTGTTGTCTGTCCGCACAAGCACTCATATATATAAAACAATGAGAAAGTCTATGGCGAGCGAACGGCATTACAAACGCTGTGTTTCTCCCTGCCCACGATATCTGGCGGCGGGGGATACACACGATTTGTGTGTCGTTTGTTTAGGAGCGGAGCATGCACGGTCAGCTTTCGAGCACCTGATTGTCATCACTGCTAGCTCTCGCTGTGAGGGAGAGGGAGCCAGACGCTTCATCTATCTTCCTCCGAGGAGGTGGATGTGATGAGAGTCGAGACAGAGGAGACTGTGGACTCGCCACCACAGTCTCTCGCGTATGAGGTGTGATTCATGATTATGGGGTGTGTTTCGTGCATTCGCCAAAATAAAATATCGTTTGGCCAGCCTAGGAACAGGACGCTCCTAAAAATAATTAGACGAGCATGTTCTGAATCCAGATCACTGAATGATAAGGTATATGGGGCAATGCCAGTGGTGGAGCAGACGCTTGCGAG